TTCAGCTGTGGGTGTAAGGTATGTTACAATCTTTCAAAGTTTGTTTTTCTCTCACTAAGCAAAGTCTCTGGATCCCTCCCACTTCAGACACGACCGTGCCACATGTGTGTATGAAGAGTGGAATGCACAGCTGTGGAACATGTGCACCATTGTTTCCAATATAGGAATTTTTCTTCTGTTTCTTAAATTTACAATTGTGAAAAAATGAGGAAGATTCCCTGAGTGAGTAGAAATCTTTCAAGACACAACCTTCTCGATTTCACCAGAGATTGGCCAATTAGATATCACTAAACAGAAACAACTTTGCTTCTGCCACCCAGAGAACGTATTCAAATTCAGGAGATTGGTTTTCAAGTCGTATTGGCAATCACATTATTCTGAGTCTTTTAGAGATTGGTGCAATACAATCATCCATTAAAAGACATTTACTAAGTTTAGCATAATGTGGCATAAAGCAAAAATTGAAGAAAATGAAGGTTTGGAAGATTTGGTGCCATCAAATATCAAAGAGGAAATGAACTACTTGCCTTGAAAATCACCATTTAAGACCTTGATTAAAAAGTCTATTGAAAATCCTTGAATCAACTTCTGTCTGTATCTCTGAGATGGGTTATGATTACTTACATTATTTACATTATTCAGACTGTTATTCTCATCTTCTTTGCCATATTAACAATGTTTCAGCCAATGTACACTCCGATCTTCTTCAGGTGATTGGAATTTTGAACCAAACAAAGACACATGGCCTAGTGGATAAAGATGTTGGTTAGATCCAGTGACTAAACCCAGAGAAATGTGAGTTCAGTACCTGGCTACAGCAGTGGTGAACCAAAAACTTGGAGAGCTGAGTTAAAAGGAAATAACTGAGACATTCAGAAGATGTATGACACGTGGAACTAGAACAATCTACTCTAGTGGATGAAATAAAAATGTTTCGGTTCAAAATTCCAGTCACCTGAAGAAGGCCTGAATGTACAATGGCCAAAATGTTGTGAATATGGCAATGAAGATGAGGATAGTCCGAATAATGTAAATAATGTAATTGAATCAAATTATTTGCTATTATTTATATCATTATTTCTCTACCAGTTTAATGGTGCCATTATAGGAATTTAATCCTATATATATATTTTTCAACCTATAAAATCCCATCAGAAGGTTTGATAAAAAAATCATAACAAGGAAAAATACCACCAAAATATTTGCAGACATAATTGTAGACCTAACACATGTTATTTTTGGACCATTTACAAAATAACAATAAACCCCTTCACCACTCCTGCAAATTCAAGAAAAAGATTTCTGTGACACAATGGAAAATTATTTTCTAACCAATGAAAACCTTGTATTAAAAAAGTTCACACTTCTATGTGAAATTATATTTTGAATCTCTTTAAAAATTAGAAGACCCAAAACAATTACGGAGATCAGTGTGATCTACACATGTGTGCACACAGATGTACCAACATAAACGCACACACTGGAGGAGAGGCAACCAGCAGCCACTGACTTAGGCCTTGTCTATATGCACAATAGAAGGGATTAACAAGCAACTGCCTACTAAGCCTTTGTCTACGAACTCAAAAAAACATTAGTCAGACCATCATAAAGTTCTTCCACACATTCACACCATAATAGGAACACTTAATTAGTTATTGTCTTAAAGGCAAAAATGAGAATAACACTAATGTCTCATTTTAACAGATATATTTACCAAAATTACACAAAAATATCTTCAAATACTAAAGAGTAAAACAAAACAAACTTCACTGCAGGAAATTGAACATTTTATTGTTATTGTATATTTCTGAAAAGAATATATAAATGTTATTTTAACTGAAGTATTCCTTCAAAAATAACATTTTATATGTTTCATTTAAAAGATGTGTTCTTATTGTTGTTGTTGTTGTTAAATGTTTGGAATCCTAACACTCAAATAGCAACTGAAACCTGCGCAGTCGAGATCCCAACACCATATAAAATGATGGCATATTTTAGTAATTTTCCAATTACCATATTTGCTGGCCTATTAGATGTACCAGTGCATTGGATGCAACCAAATTTTGGCATGGAATATTTAGGAAAAAAAATGTACATATCACAACCAAAAATTATAACCTTACCTTTATGTGACATTCTCACTAACTATAAAGTAACACTTACAGTATTAGCACAAAGTATACTATTGGTACATTCTTATAAAAGTAAGGTAAGGTTTAATTACCAGGTCATATTTTGGAAAAGAAGAATTTTAATACATCATGCATTTATTAAAAATTGTTTCAGTTGTTTTTCAGGGAGCAACATCTGCACATACAGTAAATTCATAATAGTTACAAAGAAATTTACAGTGAAAAGTGATACATATGGTAATGGGCAAAAAAACTCAGAAATATGGTACTTGTTGGTAAATGAATTCCCATATCATACATGCAGAAAACCAAACCTAAGTACCTGTATATAAAAAAACAGACACAAAACAAACAGTAATTTACCAGTCAAAGCAACTATTTCAGTAAAATTTGGTATTTCTACAAAATAAGCAGAAAAATATTGTGTGATTCCATAAATTACTTACCATTTTCCTTCTAGTTTCAGAGATAAGTTCTATGCATACACTGATTCCTGGTGAACCCAATTTTTTTTCGTGGTCTTCAAGTCCCTTTCATACAAAATACTGCTGTATTGAACGCAGGGTAATTTTTTGGAGCATTTTTTGTAAAATATTTGCATCCAATAGGCTCAGCAAATATGGTATATGTTGTGTATGATACACCTAATTTACATAAGTGGAGTACCGACCATATAAATATGGGTTGGTACCGGAAGACGACGGAAGATTAAGAGATCGAATCCAGAGACTCTGCCCGACTGCGACTTAGTCAACCCATTCTGCAGGAACAGTCTTCCCAAGAATATACCAAAACTACCTGTAAATATTGTGTACCTTTTTTCATTGTTTCAATACATTTTGTTACGTACATTTTGTGTTGTATTATTATTATTCCATGCTTATTCAAGCTTCAACAGTATATGATATTAAAAGCTCAAATATGTTTGATATTAAGATATTTTACTCCAAAATATCTTACTGACAAAATGACTAACAAATATTTTACCTGTGTATCAATTTATATAAAATTCTATTCATAGTCTGATTTATCTATCTATCTATCCAGCTATCTATCTATTAATCTATATATATATATATATAATTAATAAACACTAAAATCCAAAATTACCTCATGTTAATAATAGCCTATTTTGGCAGACGAACATATCAGTTGTCTGTCTTATCAACCCCAGTGTAGAGTGAGTTTATATCTATACAGATAAGGTGGGGGTGGGGCAGAAAGTAGCATTTAACTGTGAACGCTAAAAAAAAATCAATGTGTCAAAAAACTAATATAGAATTTATCCATTTCAATGTTTCAGTCAGGCATGAGACAGGAGTCAGGGGAGGGTGGAAGTTATTGTCTTAAAGGCAAAAATGAGAATAACACTGACGTCTCATTTTAACAGATATATTTACCAAAATTACACAAAAATATCTTCAAATACTAAAGAGTAAATTTATTCAATAAAATCAGCATTGGCTTCAAACACGGCCTCCAGATAACTTTGGAATCTCCTCCAACTCTTCTGGGCGGTGTCCTTGTTTAAGTAGGCGAATGCTACCAAAATCCTTACCTTCAGTTTACCTTTGGTGTTACAAGGAGTTTTGTTGGTCTCTTGCCCAACTGAGCCACACACATAATAATCAAGGGAGTTGCAGTCTGGGGAGTGAGGTGTAAGAGGTGATGTGGTCGTAGACATTGTTCTGCTTGTGTGGCATGGTTCAGAGATCTGTTGCCAGATATAGGGTTTTCCAGCAGCCACCCTCTTGATCCAGGGTAGCACTATCTCCTCAAGTCAATTGATGTAGGCCTCTGTGTTGAATCTGAGGCCCTCACCAACAAATTCAGGAGTACTTTTCTTATCCGAACAATCAGAGTGAGTTTTCCAAGCTGCTGTACCTTTGTAATCACCATTAGACATATTCAACTCTTTCCAAATCATCTGCACTTTCTTCAGATTGACACCCAAACACTCTGAAATATTCATATTGGAGTTTCTGGCTCGAGTGCCAAGCAGTACAGCATGCCATTTCCAAATTTCTGGCAGAGTGAATTACATCATGGTGCTGTTTTTCTCACAAATGGTGCCCAAATGACCCTAGTGCAATATAAATTGGCGACAATTTAACCATCGCACCCTATATATATATGTGTGTGTGTGTGTGTGTGTATATATATATATATATATATAAAAGAAAGAGGTTATAGTGGTTCCAATGAGAGAAAAGTATGTATATTAAAAAGAAGAGAAGAGACGTGTCACAAACGTTTTTGGTTAAAATGTGGATTTTTTTAGAAAAAAATATTATGCTTTATTTTCCATATAAAGCATAATATTATTTCTTTTTTTTTATTAGTGGAATTCATACATGCAAGAATATTGCTAAAGATGCGGGTAAAATGGTCAGCTCCCTCTACCACATCTGACTCCATGTGCTTATCCATTACAAGAGCTAGATCAGACCAAGAATGGAGCACTGTTGTCATCTTTGGCCAGGAGCTGCCCAGATTGTACATTCCAGGATTGATAGAGTCCAAAAGTATCTCTGAGCCCTTGTAGGTGACAAATTATTTTTCACCCTCCAACCTCTCTCTCACAAGCAGGATGTGGCAAGTTTCTCATTGCTTTATTGCTACTTTCACAGAAAATGCTCAGATGAACTATATTCCTTGGATCCTCCAAGAACTGCCATGCCACTTACATTGTAGGAAACCCCACCCAAATTCCCTCTGTATTCCATTGATGAGAAGTAAATTCCACTTGAACAGCTTCTTTCTGCAAACCACTGCTCTGTCGAACAGACTCCCAAGAGGATGTCTCCCTGATCACTACAATCTTGACCTGTTCAAGTTTAGGGTTAACCCACAGCCATACCTATAGGTATGGTTTTGGGTTATCTTCCCTTCCTATCCTTACAAATGTCTGGTGATGTAGTGTCACACACACACACACATATAGATACATATTACCTTTTATATATGTGAAGATCTGCATGATAATAAATTTTACATTGGACATCTTTTGTTTACTATTTTACCAATTTTTCTTCTAAATGCAAATATTTGAAGCTTTAGAATTAAAGTCTAAAGTGGCAGCACAAAACAATAATTATTAAAAATGGCAGAATTAGAATTTAAAGCCGTTTTGAATGTAATCTGACTAAAATCAAGGACATTATCATATAACTTTTCCTATTCCTCCTTCTCCTCCTCCTCATCCTTTTTATCCTTCTTCCTCTGTTGCTCCTCCTTCTCCTTCTTCTTCTTCTTCTTCTTCTTCTTCTTCTTCTTCTTCTTCTTCTTCTTCTTCTATTGCCTGCCTCACTGTCCTCCTCCTCCTTCTTTTTCACTTCTTCTATTGCTATTTTCTTCCTTACCCTATGATTATCATACTTTTCTATTTCTATATCCTCTGCATCTTCCACATCTTTTTTCTATTTCTTCTTCTTCACTTCATTCTCCTCCTCATTCTTCTTCTTTTCTTCTGTGCCTCCTTTTTTATTTTTCTCCATTTTCTACTTCTATCTTTTCAACTTTTCCTTTTTAACTTCCTTGAATTTTTCTTTTCTATTTTCTTGTTTTTCCTCATCATTTTTCTTCTTTTTTTTCTTCTTTTTCTTTTTTCCTACTTTTTCTATTCTTCCAAAGGTGAACTTCTTCCTTCTCTCTCTTTTCTTTCTGACTTATTCACTAAACTACTTTTCACCCTTTCTTTTTTCTTCTTCATTCCTTGTCACAACCCTACCATCGACATCAATATATTTATGAAGTTTCATCTACTGCAAAAAGATGCAGCTGGCACAATGTTTAGCAAAGTAGAGAATGAAATCAGCAAAGTGGGTTCAAACTCCTGCCAACAAGACAGTTTACATTTGCCTCACGCCGATGTGCTTGAATAAGGCATCATTTTCTCCCTCTCCAACTGGAACACTTTAGCAATGGAAGGCAAACTAACAGGAACATTCAGTACATCAAGCAAGGAACTGTTCCTTGCTGGTAGTACCATGTAAACACCATACGACTTGTCATGTTAATTAGAGAGGAGATGGTTGCTGTGTGAGATGCCATGAAGAATAATCACTTAATATGGTACCCAACAATCTAAGTGATCTTGAAAAAGGTCTCTGTCCCATTTTGATTCTCAGAAAGCTTACCTTCTTTCTCTTCCACTTATTTTTTCTTTCTGTTTTTCTTTTTTTGTAAATATTAATTTCCATTCTCTTTACTTATTTTCAGTAAATTTCTTCCTCTTTCTCTTTTCTTCTTTCATTCATTGGAAACCTCATTCTTCATTTTTACTAATGACTTGTTGTGCATTTCCTTTCTATTTTAGTGTATATCATCATCATCATCATCATCATCATCATCATCATCATCATCATCATCATCATCATCATCATCTTTTTCTTCTTTCTCTTCCTCTTCTTTTTTCTCTTCTTCTTCCCCCCACTTCTCCACCAACATTTCTTCACCTAATCCTTCTCGTCCTTGCTATCCTCCTCCTCCTCCTCCACCTCCTCCTCCTCTTCCTCCCCCTTCTTCTTCTTCTTCTTCTTCTTCTTCTAATCATCCTCATTCTCCTCTTCCTTTTATTCTCCTTGTCATCCTACTCCACCTTTTTCTACATCCGATCCTCCTCCTCCTCCTCCTTCTTCTTCCACATTCCATACACAGCCCCACCCCTTCATTTATCTTTGTTCTTTTTACAATCACATTCCCTAAGAATAAGAAACAAGAAATCAAAAAATTTGGTGAAAGAAAAAAGCAAAACACAAATCAATGCCATTTCTTGATTGTCGACGCTTAGTATTAAGAAGTCATAATTTGTTGTTATATGTCGGGGAATTTCAGAAAGATTTTCACTGACCCTCCTCTAATTGGTAGAATATTGTTCCCATCCCCTCCTTCAGTTTCAACTACTTTTTTTCTTTCATTTCTTTTCTTTCTTGCTTTTTGATTTCCTTGACAATTCCATTTTGTTCTCAAAGACGCAAGCAGCATTGATAGGTCTACTACAATGTGTTTCATCAAGGCTAGAAACGACAGTAGAAAAAGAAAGAAAATAATAATAAAAACAAAATAAGTCAAGATCCACAACAACAACAATAAAAGGAAAGAAAAGTTGAATAGTGATTGTTGTTATTGTTATTATTATTATTGACTGCAAAATGGGAAGAGATGATGATGATGATGATGATGATGAGGAGGAGGAGGAGGAGGAGGAGGAGGAGGAGGAGAAATAAGACAAAAATGACAAGAATAGTAACAGTGATAAAACTCACCAAATGCATAAGAATAAATGATGAAGTGAATAAAATTAAAAATGAAAAGAATTGAAAAGGTAAATGACAACAATAATAACAACAGTAATAATAATGGTGTGAAAGCTCAACAAGTCAATAATAATGATAATAATAATAATAATAATAATAATAATGATAATAATAAGTAAAGAAAAGAAAAAGAAACAAAGGATACTGTTGACAATAAATAAGAAATGATAATGACAACACTAATGACAGAGAAGAAACAAAAAAAAGAAAGACAAAGAAGAAAAAACTGAAAATGAAGCAATAATAATAATAATAATAATAATAATAATAATAATAATAATAATTTAAATAGGTGGTAGGCAAAGCCACAAAATATGGTAGGGAAGAGAAGCTAAAAATAATAATGATAAGGATAATACAAATAAAGACAGAAAAGAACCAGAATATAATGGGGAAACTAATTTATAGGAAGAGAGAAGTTTGAGGAAAAGGAGCACATGATCTTCTTTTCTTTTTGCTTTTGCAAAACATGGTTGAAGGAAGTGAAAAGAAAAGAAAGTTTGATTAGGAAGAAAATAAAGGTATAAATGAAATAAATATTAAGAAAAACTTTAGGAGAAATAAAAAATGAAGGAAATATTAATTTTAAGAAAACCTGGGAAAAAAAACTAAAGATGCAACTCAAAGATGGAATAGAAATTAAAAAAAAAAAAAAAAAAAAAAAAAGAATGAAAATGAACCAATGAAAAAAATGCAAAATGAAAGTTGTGAGTGAGAAATGTGAAAAAGGGAAATGACAAAGAAAGATTTGAAAAAGAAAGAAGAGAAAAAATTACCCTAAAAAAGAAAATGAGAAAAATGAAAGAAAGACAAGAATACATAAGAGAAAGAAATGAAGAAATTATACTGAAAAAAAAGGACAGGCTCATCAAACCAATTTTAATAAAAAGAAAAAAATAGATAATAAAAAAAACTTTGTAGGATCAAGAAAGGAAAAAAAGTATAAGAAATAAATAGATCCAAATATCAGGAAGAACAGAATTGACAAAAGAATTTGAAAATAAACAAGAAAGAGCAAAATGAAGAAGAGAAAATTTGATTGGCAGAATTAATATGCAAATGTCTTTCTCTATCTTTCTGTCACAGTTTTATTGTCAACAGTCATCATCATCATCATCATTATCATTGTCTTTTCCATCAAGATCTCTTTTATTTGTTATATTATTATTATTATTATTATTATTATTATCATCCTCCATCATCATTATCATTTTTTGTCTCTTCTTCTTCTACTACTACTACTTCTACTACTACTACTACTACTACTAGTTCTTCTTATTATTACTGTTGTTGTTTTTTTGTAATTGTTATGTCATTTTTCTTTCTACCTCCATCAGATTTCTTATTTCTTCCTTTTCTTTTTGTTCTTGCTGTTGTTGTTGCTGTTGTTGTCCTCCTTTTTTTTCTTCTTCTTTTTCTTTTTATTATTATTATTGTTGTTGTTGTAGTTGTTGTTGCTGTCATTATTATGTCATTTTTCTCTTTACTACCATCAGATAA